ATAGATAGATATAGATATATCTATATCTATATATATATCAGTTACCTGGAGATAGCTATTACAATAGGCTTGACTACAGGCTCTAGCATTTGAGCTTATCGTGATACCTTTCTAAGACTGGAGGTGGTAATGCACAGTCCCTCACGTACCCTCTGTTGGTCTTGGGCTTATCAAACCGGAAATCTGCAGGGTAGAGATGGAGCCTCACCATGTGATCCTTCCGGGCCTGGGTAGTCTTGAATTTCTCAGGGCAGCCTTCAACCAGGCACTGGTACTGAAAAGGACAGTATGTCACCACCCTGGTCCTAGCACCTACCACTCACGTCCCCAGGCTGCTCCTGACATATACCATGTCTTGTCTTTCCGCCAGGACCTGGAAGAGTGAATCATGCCATTCCAGAATGTGGGCATCCAGCAAGTGCTCGGAAGGGAAGGCGCGGCTACACAGGGAGCAGGCATTTCGGTGCATCATATGGTAGTGGTGCTGGTAGTCCTCCAGGGCAGCAAACACCTGGCAGCAGCCAGCTACCTGACAGGTGAATTCGGGCACCCTAGGAAAGGAGACCCGTCTCAGTGGAACCAATTAGAGCAAGACTTTCGGCCAGATGCCCAGTTAAGAAACCTGATTCAGCCCTGGGAGTTTCCTTAGAGTCCTAACCCCTACTTATTTATTTGAATTATTTTTAAAAGGCATTTATTTATTTATCTATTTATTTGGGTCAGGGCCTTGCTATGCAAGTTGGACTCATGGTGATCCTCCTGGTTTTGGCCTCCCCAGTGCTGGGATTCGAGGCATGCACCGCCACACCCGGTTCCCCTTGACCAGCACGGCACGTGGTACTAGGGATGAAACCCGGGTCCTTGCTCTTGCCAGGCAGGCATTTAGTCCGCCGAGCTATCCCCCCAGCCCCCTACTTGTTTAAGAATTAAATTTGTGCAATCAGAATTCATAGAGAAACCAACCAACTCAAGATTGTATTTTATTGCTGGCAGCAGGCAGGGCAATGCCAAGTTCCTGCAACAGTTTTGTCTCCCAGGGGTCCGAGGCCTCTGCTGCAAGCGATTGATCGGGGAGCTACTGAGGGGCTACGCCAGGAAAGAGGCGCGCGTTGAGCTGCTCACCTAGACTTCTCCGGGGCCTCGGCCACCTGCGTGAGCACATCTTGCAGGTACAGGTGCCGCTGCACGTCCCCGTCCTATAGGAGACAAGCGACGGGCAGCGCTCGGGCCTAGAATCTCGGTCCCGCAAGCTCACACGCCAAACCAGGCTCAAAGACCCCCTGCGTCCGACCCGCCGGGCCCACCCCGCAGCGTTTGGCCCCGGCCCCGCCCCCGCCGCTGGGCGCGCCGAGCGCCAGGCCCCGCCCCCACCCCACCCGCCGGCCCTCCGCCCGCTGCCTCCGTCCGCCTTCATGCACGCACTTCGAAGAACTCATGTTCCCTCGGGAAACGCATCAGGCGCGGCACGAAGCCGAAGGGCGCCGCTCGGGCCGCAGGGTTCCGCTGCACGGGCAGCGGCTCGGCTGCCCCGGGCGCCCCAGCCAGGCGAGCCCGGAGCGCGGAAGGCAGTAGCATCGCCCTGGGCGCCCCGCGCAGCCTGCCGGCCGCCGTCCCCACCACGGGCCGGACGTGACGTCGCGCACTTCCGGGTCGCGGCTCTGGCGGGCGCCGCCGGCTGCGGTGAGTGTCTGCGGCGCCCTGGGGGCCGGGATGCCGTGCGTGCCGCGGACTGCCGCGCCCGGTGGGGGGCGGCGGGGGCGGGGCGGGTCCCCGCATGCGGCTTTCCCGCCCTCCTCCCTCCTTCGCCACCCCGCAGCCTCGCGGGCCCAGCGCTTGGACCCGCTGCATTCCGCCCCTTCTGGTCTTTCCCAGGCGTGCCTGTAGTCGCCACCCCGAGCCAGTGGTCTTGGAGAAGTTCGGTTTGTAGGACCCTTCTCTGCTTACAGCCCGGAGCCCGCGGCCAGCCTTGTGCGGTGGGGGCTGCCTTCCCAGCCTCCCGCAGCCGGCCTCCGCAGGAGCTCGGTGGTCCTGGCGAGGCTCCTGCCACTCCGAGCCCGCTGGCCACGCAGGGGAGACGAATGTCAGGGGAATCCGTGACCCAGTAAAAGCGGCAGCAGGAAACAACGCCGGGAGCGTCTAGGGGCTCTGCAGGGGAGCGTGGGCATCTGGAAGCTGCAGGAGCTTAACGGTCGCTCCTTCCCCCCAAGCGTGTTTTCACTGAATGGGGCTTGGCGTGTACACGTGTGCAAACTGAGGCAGGAAGGGTCGCTGTTTCTTTAATAGATGAATTAAAGCGTTTGTCATTTCATCCTTAGAAATAAAAGTTTTTGGCTGTGTCCCCAGTTATTTTCAGGTCTAGGGAGAGCTTTATGGTATCATTAATGAACTTCTGTCTCTGTTGCTTTTTTTGTGTTTTTTGGTGTTTTTGGCGGAACCGGGGATTGAACTCAGGCCCTTAAGCTTGCCAGGCAAGCGCTTATTCTACTGAGCCATGTCCTGGGCCCCTCTGTCTCTGTATAACTTGGCATTTTTGACGTTTCACAAGTTGTAAATTTTTTTTTTTCAGGCCAATTTATGCAGTTAGCTTGGAGTCTATAATTTCCTCACTTTCCCCCTTGTTTTAATCGCTGTCCACTGAGGGTGTGCAGCTAATTTGTTCATGATGGAATGTCAGCTACAGATAAGTTCTGCTCCTTTTGGTGACAACTGATAGAGAAGGGAACACCAGAGCATCAAAGAAATCATTACAGTAATCATTACAGTCTGTAGCAATTGATCAGACTTGTCCACCTCTGTGGTCTTCTTGGAAGACACTGGTATTTTGGCTGTGGGACAGTTGTGTGGACAGTGTAGTGGCTTTCACAACACTGTCAAAACCACTTTTAGTCACTGTAACCACCAAGAGTTGATCCAGAACATTTCCAGAAGTTCTAGAAGAGATACTCTGAGAACTGTCTCCTTGTAGGAATTGTCTCTCAATTCAGGCAGAGAACAGCAGGCTTCTCAGAGCTTTTGTTTGCATCAACAGAAGTTTCCTGAAGACAGGTTTAAAATAAGTGTCCACTTAGATGATCCTTCCTCAGGAGTAGCTCCCTACCTTTGTCTAAAGCTTTTCTGGCCTGCTGACATGATGAAAATAGACCAGCCATTACTTAAAATCTGAAGGCCTCTGAAAGCCTTCCAGAATGTGGATAAAAGTGAGGAGTTTCAGATTGTTTTTCTGCTTTGCAAGTAGTGTACAGTGCCTCATGTCGGGGCTCCTTAATACTCATAAGAAACTATCAGCTTAAGTCATTGGTTCAGGCTTAGTATTACCCAGATAGCAGAATGAATGTTCGAGGTGGTTGGCCTTTTGTAGTAAAAGCAACAGTGCTTGTTCTGGCTTTCCTACTGACAGGAGCTTACTATGTGATTCCTTCATTTCTTTGTAAGAATGAATTTCAGCCCAGCATGGTGTAGCCCGTGTATAATCCCAGCACTGGGGAGGCCGAGACAGAAGGATCACAGCTGATTTGAGGCCAGCCAGGGCTATGTAATGAGTTCAAGACCTACCTGAGCTACATAGCAAGACCCTGACAATGAAAAAAGGACGGCTATGTTTAATTTCCATAGCAGTTCTGCACAGCTGCTTCAGTGGAAGCTTGCCAAGGACGAGCTCCTTGCTCAGTGGCTGTCAGGGTCAGCTTGCTTGGGACTCCACAGCCCGTCCTGGGCTGCTCTTGTGTTTCTTACTTGGCTGTGATGAGCACCTCTTTATTGGAAAGGGTCTGTGCTGGGAACTTGAGCATCAGCTCAGGTGTAGCCTCTGTTTTCAGTCCTGAAAGCAGAGCACTTACATTAGCCAGAATGGAGGTTTCTATGCCAAGAGATTATTTTCCATCATACAGGGCTAGAGTGGAGTGCTTCAGGTAGAGTTCCAAGTAGATATTCCTTATTAAATTCACATATCTCAGGAGTGTGAACCAAGTCTCTTGTCCTTGATTTTCTGTTTAACTCATGGCTTGTGTTAACACTGGATGGGTTAGCACAGTGATTCTTAACATCTCGTAAATCACAGCACTTTGGTAAATTTGTTGCAGTGCTGTGTGAGAAAATCCACAGAAATAATTGGTTCCACGTAATTCCCAGGGATTCTGTCACTTAGGAATCCCAAATTAAGAACCCTTATATACAGATGAGCTATGACCAAAAAATACAATAAATAATTTTTGAAAATGTGTCACAGTAGAAGATCCACTGTCATTAATACCCTTCAGATATTCCCCCATTTGGAACGCATTTATCCCACCATTCTTGCCATTTTTTGAAGCAGTTCTGGAAGTCCTCTTCCATGAATGTCTTCAGTTGAACGAAAGAGCTGTTATGGTTGCCTCTGTGTTCTGAATTGATCCAAAACATTCACTTTTTTTGGTCATTTTGACTTTGGGAAACAGCCAGAAATAGCCTGCTGCCAGATCCAGTGAACAAAGTAGATGAGGACACGCCATACTATTTTTACAGGTCTGCCATTCTGGTAAGAGGCACTAAGCAGCAGCATTCACTATATTTTTAGTCGTTTCTTGTAAAGACATGAAAGAGGACTTCTAGAACTGCCTCAGAAGGTGGCAGGGATGATGGGATAGGTATGTTCACAGTAAGGGAAAGTGTTTTGAGGGGGATTGGTTGCAGTTTGTCTCACTGTAATGGTTTTTTAATGTAAATGTTTACCTCATTTTAATTACATCCCTTATATTAAAAATTTATTTGAAGCCCATAAAGTTTGCTTAGGCCTGTTTTTGAATATGTAGTTAATGCCCATGTGTATTACCATCACAGCATTCCTGATAATGGCTGACTAACCCAGGTGTCGGAGAGTGGAAGTCCCTGCACAATCAGCTGCTGTCCAGTAGGACGTTAATTAAGAAGCCCCTACACTATTTTGCTGTGCCCTGGGGACATCAGGTAAGGTTTTGGTCTCAGAAGTTTGTGTGTTCAATGACAGATGCTAATACGCAGCAACTGACAGGGTGGACAGAGCTGTGATAGAGCCATCTCCTACACATGAGATGTTCAGATGAATGTTCAGAAATCTTACCCCAAACATCTTTCTAGTTAGCCAGGCTTGGAACAGAAAGAAGATATCCCAGGTTCTTGAGTGCAAAAGTAGGGGTGTGGATAGAACTGCTGCTGGACAGTTCTGGGTCTGAGAACTGGGCGTGGCCTCAGATGAGAACTTATTTTAACAGCTATGTAGGAATAGAGGTGGTGACCTTGGCTCATGTACGCTCCTGTACATCCTGGGCCTTCCAGTGGCAGAGCCATTGTATCTGCCCAGCTGGGGCCAGAAAGCTCTGCCCACCAGTCCACCGAAGCAGCAGAACAGCTTTGTCTTGGGCCAGGACCACCTGTGGATGGAGTCACCCAGCAAAGGAGAGGAGGGCCTGTGGGGACCGTTCATACAGCCCATCTGGAGCTCCCTGAGCTGCAGAGTGGACTGGGAATGACTGATGATAGAAGCCAGTGAGGGTGGCTGGCATACAGCAGTATGTCCCTGAAGCAGAGGTGGTAAAGGAGCAGACAACCACGGGAAGGCAGGGGCTAGGCTGGGCCTGGTAATGATTAGCTTCATCAAAGGCCAGAAATTGGTCAGATTCAATTGTTTTTAAAGTTTTGTGTAAGATTTTAAGTGTATGCATGTCTAAAGCACTGTTATAAGAATGTCTGGTGATGTTGATGTCTCAGGGCTGAAACCATGAGTGAATTTCGGATCCACCATGATGTCAATGAGCTGCTCAGCCTGCTGCGAATCCACGGCGGGGATGGAGCGGAAGTCTACATTGACCTTCTGCAGAAGAACCGGACCCCATATGTCACAACAACGGTCTCTGCCCACAGTGCCAAGGTGGGTGACTGTCCCTCATGCAGGATTGTGTTGGGTGGGTGTTCTGAGGTTGGGGGAGTCTGGTAGCTACCGCATTGCCAGTATTAAGGTCAGTAGCACGTGTCAGCTGTTTCCCATGGGACAGGTACACACTGTGTTCTGTGATTCTCCTGACTCTGGTAGCAGCCGCTGTCACTACTCCGTTATACAGAGGAGTGAGTGCAGGCCTGGGCGGGGTTGCTTTGAACCCTGAGTCACACATTCCTGCCTTGTGGTTCCTGAGACAGGAGACTCATGGCCCTGTTTCTGGGGCTAAGAAGGGAAGCCACTGATATTAACCATACAAATAATACATAATTCAGAATTATAAATCTTGAGTAAAAAATGGATTTGAATTTGAAATTTCTTTCTAAAATGCGTATTGTGAAGCTTTATTTACCTAAACAGCATAATGATAGCACCAAGGCAGTTAGGAAAACTGAGTGGAGTAGAATTTAGGAATATACATCTTTTCTTTTATGGTACTAGGCATTGGATCCAAGGGCTTCACTCTGAGGTACAATCCCAGCTCCCTCCCTGATTACTGGGACAGTCTGACTAAATTGCCCAATTTAACTTACTAAGTTACCTAATTTAACACCACTCTGGTTATGTTTTTCTTTTTTTTTTTTTTCCCCATAATTTTATTGAGAAAAAAATAGCAATGAGAAAGTTTCAAATCAAATTGGTATGACAGTTTTAATAATTAACACATTGCATACTCTCTTCCTAGTGGATATTTGCTGTACAAGATGCAGACATGAAATGCTA